TCCCTGACCGATCCAGGCTGGATATAAGGAAGAATTTCTTTACTGTCTGAGCCCCCAAGGTTTGGAATAGGCTGCCACTGGAGGCGATTCAAGCACCCATTATGAACACCTTCAAGACATATTTGGATGCTCATCCTGCTGGGATCCTATGATACCTGCTGACTTCCTGCCCCTGGAGCAGGGGGCTGGACTCAATGATCCTCCAGGGTCCCTTCCATCCCGAATGTCTATGAAATCTATGAAATAATTTGTTTCACTGAATACCAACAATGTTCTCCTGCACAAGCATTTAAAAAGACACCATTTCTGTTTGTTGTGCTTACAATCCAGTAAAACCAATGACCGCTCATACATAGTTTACTGCAGGGGTTGTCAACCAGGGGTATGTGTACCCTGTGGGGTACTTGAGAAAGCCCTGGGGGGTCCGTGCGGACAGGTGGAGACAGAGTACTGCCATGAACCATCCTGCAGGTGCTCCCCACCCAGCCAGATGCGGGGAACAGGGGAAGCTCCCACATGGTAGCTGCTGCCGCTCTGCATTCAGCCATGCACCGAGCCCCACCCCTGCTCCGCATCCAACCGCCTGGGGTACTCTGCTCCAAAATGGTTGAAAACCCCGGTTCACTGAATATCATAGGGTAAGATAAGTGGTGCAGGAATCCTACAGAGATTATTTTAGAAGTTCTGAAGAAGCAACACAGCCTAAGGAGAGATATAAAGTTGATGAGGCAAATTGTAAAGCTGGTGAGGCAAATTATTTAGTGAACATGGGAGGGAGATTTTCCCAGGTGTAAAGGGAAAACTCAAAAAGCAAGAAGAGGAAGGTAGAAGAATACAAATTGCTGAAACTCTTGGGCTAGGCACAGACATTCAAAAATCCCAAAGCGGAATTGATCTAAGTGACACTGTTTTCTGTAAGTGGCATAGCTTAGATTGATAGCAAACAGAACACACATTTGCCATTTGGTGGGAGGGAGGGAGGTAGGGCAAATCTTAGTCTGGGTTCTGCCAGTTTTAAACAAGTCTGTGTGCTGAATTTCTGTTTTGTTATGTGTACAGACTGGTTTTGCGTGCCAAACTTCTGTTTTGTTATGGATGTAGACTGGTTTCTGATCACTTATACCAGTGCAAGTGTAATGTCTGTACCTGGCCTTGGGGAGAAAAAGGTGAACAAAAGTAAAATGGAAAGAAAAAGTGGCAGGCAGGTAGTTAGGAGCAGATCCATCACAGGATCAAAGATATTAACCCCATTCTGTCCCCTCTGATGTTCTAGTAATGGTTCTTTCCAGATTAACTGGGATCACTGCTAACTGCAAATTCAATAAATGAAACCTTACCATCAACAGCCAATGAGAAGGTGTTTTGTGTGTCTTCAACTCCATACATGACCTCACAACGGTATACACCTGCATCGCTTGCACGTAGTTTATCAATAGTTAATGAAGCATTACCAGTGCCCTCTGGGTAGGTTGGAACAGACACTCTGTCTTTGTAATTTCGGCCTATTTTGATGTTCCCATTTTGGGTCACCAAGACAGTGATGTCTTTAGGGTCTTTTCCACTCCTATCCAGCTCAATCTTTGACCATTTGATTCGAAGAAATTCATTTGTATTGTGGAAGCTGGGAGACAAAGTGGGCAAAGTTGAAAAGAGGCAAGGTAGGATTGCTCTTCGAGATAAGGATCCCTGTACATGGATTTTTTTGTCCACTTTAACTAGAAGAAGAAAGGGGAAAAAAACAGGAAAAAAACATGTTAGTTATTTGCAAGCCAATAGAATAAAAATTCAATAAATTATATTGTTATTTAAGGCTTAAAGCACATAGGGGATCTGATTCTCATGTCCCTGAGTTGGTATCAGGCCTAACTTCACTGGAAACAATGGAATAAACTCAAAGGCAATGTGACTTAGTGGCCAGGGCCCTGGAGTGGTACTTGGAAGACCAGATTTAACTGGCCTACAGAGACCTCAGAAGACAAATTATATTCTTGCCTCTATCCAAACCCACCTGGGCAAATGACTTCATCTCTTTGTGCCTTGTTTCTATATCTGCAAATTGAGCATAATATTCCTAATTTCCTTTGTAAAGTATTTCAGGATCTGCAGATTAAAAGTGCCATATAAATCTAGCCTGTATTTTTATACAGGTATAAAATAGTCAAAAAAGGAATGATAGCCGATGGCTTTGTAACCATTGCAACTCTAACACTCTCATTCTTAAATCAATGGTTAATTTATTTTACCATATTATATATATAAATTATTCTTTCCAGTAAGTTTCTCCAACTGTTCATTCTTCTTTATTATTATTTCCTTGATAACCTCAGGCTTTAACATATTTCAGAGCTAAAATATTTAGGATGTTACAGCAAAGGGCAAAATAAAGAACACAGAAGGTCCTTACTTGGCTCAAGACTTGTGATTATAGGACTTTTATCATAGTTTTATGACATCTCCAGCTGCAAACACTTTACAGTGAAATGCTTCCACTCAACTATATTCTTAGGGGAAAGTTGGCTACTGTTCATCCAACCTGCCTATAGTGTGTGTCTGGAGAAAAGATTTCTGTTCACTACCATTACACACCAGCTTTTAATCCTCATTAAGTTATTAAGCATGGTTCAATAACGTTAGGTGCACACACAAGAAAATATTTCTTTCTGCTTCCAGTGGCCTGCACTCTAGTTTTTTGTCTGAGATGATGATCATTGAATCCACTATGGTTCTCAGAGTTTATAAAAAGAATACCTGCAAATTAATATTGACCACTAGCAGAATGAAGCAAAAAAAATAACTACCAACCATGGAAATTATCTAGCTCTGTATATATTAACTGTCAAATATGTTCTGCATGCTTATATTTTGGACAGTTTTAAAAGGGAGACAGGCAAGTGTTAATGGTTAAGTATCTATTGGTCTAGGTTTTGATATCATGCTCATCCTGGTATGAGAGGGTCTTGGCTTTATAGACAGGCACCAGGTATGATTATTAAGATTCAACTCTTTACATCATAAATTAAAAAATAAACAAGTGTCCTTCAGAAATTAATGCCTACAAACCTATTTCTAAAGATAGAAAGACAAAGCCAGTTCACATGTGATGACTAGAAAGGTAGGGAACTCTTAGGGTGACTAGTTGATGGAAAGGGTTCATTAATAAGAATCAGATTCACATGTCCCTGCTCATGCTCAGTAATAACTTCCGCCACAAATAATCTGACTGAAATTTAGAAAGATATTTGGTGAATAAGGTGCTATTCAGCCTGAGTAGGAAAATATTTCTCCGATGATAGCAATCAAAGCATCGAAATGAAAAGGGCATGATCTTAATTTTTAATTTTACACTAGGTGAACAGTTCTAGTTCTGACTCTCCATTCCTTTGCCCCAGCTTAGTGTTAGTGAAACTGCACCGAGCTCTAGTAAAGCAAAAATGTTGCAACAGAATGAAGAAGCTGGCCTACCAGTTTCAGTGGAGCTGCTATCAGACTATATGGGTGTGAGACTAGATTCAGTCTCAAAATATGTAAAATTTATTTTGATGTCTTGTTGCCTTAAAAATGTGTATCTTCATTGTAGAGACTATTCAAAAGAATAATTATCTTATTATGTTTCTTCTACCTGCCTGCCAGAATTTCAGTAAACTTCAGAGCTACTTTGTTCTGGTTACAGTAATTTGCAATATTACACTGAACCCTGAGGAGATTTCCTCTCTTTAAAAATGGTATCCGCACATTCAACAGGCTGAAATCTCTTGGCAGCAAACATGTCAACATGATATACAGGCTAAATCTATCCTAATCTAGGGCAACATTTTAGAATGGAAGGAGACTATGTAGCCACAAATGTACTCTATCTATTTCACAAAGTAAGTATCTCAAAGACTTTTATAATAAGAGTGCTCTGTTCTGACTTGCAGGCTAATCAGCATAAGTCTGTTATTAAATAAAATGGGGTTAAAAATAAATAAATAAAACTACTTTTCCCTTTGAAAGGAAAAAAAAAGTTTGGCAAAGAAACCCGGGTTAAGTAATGCTCCTGCTCTAGTCTAAAAACTCTATTTCCTGTGACAGTCCAAGTATGATTTATTGTCCAATGCAGAAAGCAGTCTTTTTAACCCTTACCGCCTTTTTGCTTCTTCAGCATTTTCTCTGTAGCTGAAAGCACAGAAAGTTGTGTCTCTTCCCAAGATACTATGCATGCCACTTTGCAAACCATTCCTTAGGATGGGTGGAGCCAGCAAAACATGGGGAAAACAGGAGGTCCTAACAGAGTAGAGCAGTTGTTGTCAACTGGAGGTACGCGTAACCCTGGGGGTATTTTGAAAGGTCCTGGGGGTATGCAGGGGTGGGCAGGGATGGAGCATCGCTGCCTCACAGGAGCAGGGCCAGGGTGAGGCAAGAGCAGTGACGCCCTTCTGGGGGCCACACAGGCGCTGCGCTGCCGCTGCTTGCCAACCCCCATCCCCTCTGCCGTCCAGCTGCTTGCCAAGCCCCCCCCATCCCACAGGACACTTACTAAGAAGGGGGCCACCAGGGCTACTCTTAGTAAAAAAGGTTGAAAACCCCTGGAGTAGAGCAAGTAGGTCAAGAAAAGTTCTGCAACTGTGTTTGACCACATGCTGAAAAGGCAGATATCTGCCAGTTTTCCTAGGTCAACAAATAGCCTAGAGCTGACCAATAGGAGGTACTAGTGAGCCCAGACATCTCTTTCTCCAGTCCTTTTTGCCTAACTGTACGTCCTCTTTGTAAGATCAAAAATATTAACATCCTCATCTACGTGATGAAAAGAAACATGATCCTGAAACCACTTGAATATCTGGTGAGAAATAGTATTTTTTTCTCTGCTAAATGACAGAAATAACTCTTCAACGCAATTTGCTCACAGAGGAAATATTGCCGATAGAGAAAAACACATGGTAGCTAAGTCTAAGTCACCTAGCCACAAAGAATCACATCCTGACAAACCTCCCAGGGAAGTCAATGTGAGATTCTCTTGGGCTAGGACTGTGAGATCAGGTCCAAAGGAGTTCAACACAGCCCAATGATAGCGGCCTCAATTAATATTATGAGGCAAAAGAAATTTTGTGGCCACATTATGTCTCTGTGCACATTGTATCATAGTCCCTGTGTTTGGGAGATTGGAGGCACTGCTCCTCCTTGATGTCCCAAGGTTGCACAGTACCCCAACTAAAGTTAGGAAGGGGCAGAGCAATGGTTGTGACCCTCATTAGTGTTCTCTGATGGACCAGGACTGTCCAACTGGCAGCCCACAAGCAGAGGAATTAAGTTGTAGCCCCCAGGCTGCTGTTCAGCTGTTATTACTCCTTCGTAGGTTGGGCGGGGGGAGAAATAACATGGAAATGCAGTGTGGGGAGCAGAGGGTGGGTCTGGGACAAACATGAAGTGCAGCAGCTGGTGAGGGTGTGCACATGGGTGCACAAAGCAGTGGCAGGGGAGTCCACGTGGAAAGCAGCACAGGGGCCTATCATTCACCCTGGTGCATCCCACATGGTATGCAGCCCTTGCAAGGCATGCAACTCCCAGTCACTTGAGCAACACAGTGGGTAGGAGGCTGCATAATTCAAACCATTAGTGGAATCCTTCCATCTATCACGGCACTGGAGGTAGGATTATACCCAAGTGCTCCCCTTGATGTTTTAATGTGGGTCTCAGTAGCACATGTTTTAATGTTGGTTTCAGTAGCCATGGTATCAGTAGCACAATCTGCCCATAATGTAATAGCAGCCCTCCATATAAATGATAAATGAAAGCCAGTTTGTTTTTCTCCCTGACAAGCTACCCGTGACATTCTTCCTCCATCTGTTTATGCAAGCTGATGAGGAGGAACATGTCATAGGAAAAGTCACAGTTTGACCTCGATTTTGTGGATTTCTTGGAGCTCCCTTATTTTATATTATATCTATCTATCTATAGATAGATAGATAATTCCTTAGGAGGGGCAGGGCAGATTTTGGTGCGAGTTTTTAATAGTTCCTGAACAGTTTTGTCTAGAAACTGTTTTAATGTCCTACTAGTCAGGGAACTAGTACCATGCTGCCAGACAGTTAAAAGAGTTTCTGGGCTGCATAATTAAAGGGGATGTAGTTAAAGGCAAGGAGCTCACTGAGGCTATAAATTCTGCAACCCTGCCTCCTGGAGCTCTCCAACAGAATTTCCTTTTTGTAGGCTTCTACCTGGAATAAGGCTGTTTTCCTTTGTCTGTTCAACAGAATTCCAGCCAGCTTTTTTTTTTGGTGGGCCTTGCCTCAGGTGTTCCTAGTCTACAAGCTGAGGTTGTAAAGTCAGCCTCTTATCAGTGAAGTATGGCTTAATCTCTTTCCTTTGAAGCTGGACACAAACTGTTTATTCCCTGTCTGAGAACAAAATTCCTTTCTCTATATATTCTCAGACAACTGTTACAGTTGCAACAGTTGTGAATCACTACACATTTACATGAAAAGTGATTAACTTTAACGCTGCATTGTTGTATTGGGCTAACAATAAACATAACACCATTGGGATGAGACAAAGAGGCCTCCATCCAAAGTGAAGGAATTTTCTACATGAGAAGACATTGTTAAAAGAATAATCTTGCTATATAATAAAGCTGTAAGCAAACAGAAACACTGATACTGAGTAATCAGACAAAAATGTATTCTCAGAGAATAAAAGATTCTATTTATTTGAAGCCAGGTTTACAGGGGGAAGAATAATTAAATTCTTTTCTCAACAGCCTGACTGTATATATTCTATATAGTCCAGTCAATCAACAGCCATACCAAACATCTATGAAGTCATATGCTTTATTAATCTGTTCTTTTTTAAATGAGCCTGAGAGGACTCTGTTCATTAGCTTTAAATCTTTTAAGAAGGGAATTCAGCACTTAAGAATATAACATGTCTAGATTGTTAAAATGAAATTTAAAAAAATCAGGACTACTTGCAAGAACTTGTATGGCACTTTGACAATGGAGGTAATAAATTGAATCCCAACAAAAAACCTTCTGTGTTCATACCAGATGGTTTGTGGTCTGAGCTAGCACAGTAAAGAGAAGGAGGATGTAAACCAGGCATAGAATATGAAAGGATCAATTACTTCTCATATTCTGCCAGTAAATCATAGAAAACCAGGCAAATGTAAATTCCATCTGCAGAACTGAATATACCACACCTACACATAGATGCATGCATCTGCGCACACACGATGCGTATGAAATATATGTATAAATATATCTATATTATATACACATATGCAGATAGATGTTTATTATTTATTAATCTTAGAAACTTCTCAAGTGGCTGTTGAGGGGATTGCCTACTCTTTTCCAGCTTCTATTACCTTGAAAGCACATTCACTTTTGACATGACAAATGATAGTTTAAAGCAAGTAAGGTAAACTCCAACATTTATCACAGTCACTAGCTTCAACTTATAACCTGCAATACCCCAGCAACAGCTAGTTCAAAGTGAGTAAATGTCAGGTTTGCAATGAGAGTAAACTTTGTTCGTTAACTTTTGTCATTAGTTCCCCCATGTGTACAAGAGCAAACAGCACAGATCCTGTGACAGGGCACTCCTATGACCCCAGAGCCTTATCTGGTACTTCTTGGTGTTCTCCTGCCAAATATACTTTATGGGTAGTTAAAGTTTCTTAAAACATCCAAAGATCTTAATAATTTGCTTTCATTTAAAAACACCTGTTTTTGTTGCTACATAAGGCTTAAGGAGCTCCCCTTACTAATGTACAACCTACCTATGAACATGACCACATACGGGGATAAGGAATAAAAGAAATGAAAGGCAGACTGGAAAAGTAATCAGTGGGGACTGTATAAAATAATGCATATCTATAACTTGCTGTTACAAAAAAGGCTTGAATATTCTTATGATTATCATAAGAAAATCAGATTCTATGACTTTCAAAAAATAAAAATCTATATAAATATGCAACTAAAATCTTTGAGGACTTTCATGGGGCTGGGGTGAAGTTGTCATGGCACTGCATTAAATAAACCACAATAAGAACCCAGACTGCTGCAAAAGTTTAACTTGGGCTGTGTGAGAGACTATTAGAAAACAAGAATGCAGCAATACCAAAGATCACACAACTGGACTAAGCACACCAGAAGCTCAGGTTTGGAGAGCTTCCCCATGAAGGGACACTCTCAAAGGCATGTGGGGCAAATATACAGGTTGTACTCAGGCATATGCACTCTCTCCAGCAGGAAGGACACAGTATAGACATACCTTTAGAGCAGTGGTTCTCAACCTTTTTAGCCTTGAGGCAGCCCTGAGAAAATGCCAGCACTTAATTTTCAATAATCTTTTGAGTGCAGAAAAATAATCAAACAATTTTTTTTTGTTGCAAAGAACTCAGAAAACCACAACAGGGCAAAACGTTTTTAACACTATTGAATCCTATTTGAAACCTCTTGGTTTATCTTGTGAATCGTGTTTACACACCTAAAGGTGCAAACATTTTGTAGTACTATGCAGCACTCTTGAAAGTATCTTGAGGCACCCCAGAAAGCCATGATACCCTGACTGAGACTCACTGCCTTAGAGGGTAAAACTATGGTGACAATGCGGTTGCTTCCCAGATACTCAGGCTGGTTGCAAATTTTTCATCAAAACACTTCTTTTCCTCAGAAAATAATTCCTCAAACCCAGAACTATTTGCAACAAAGCTTCAGTTTTTACAAATTTTCCATTTCATAAACATTTTGGGAAAAGATATTGAAGTTGTCCAAATAGTCCTATTTCCACACTTTAAAAGAATAACATCAGCTTTGTATTCTAATTTTCTGACTTTTCAATTTGAAATTTAAGTCAATTTATAGTAAAAAAAGTAAAGATAATTTAAAATGTCAATTTTATATATATATATATATATCTTTGAACTTATATAAGTATGTGTTGACCTCATGGATTTCAAGTTTTCCAGCTTTCAACTTTTTGTTTTAATAAGGAATGCAAAAATGTTATATGTCCCCCAAATTCTCATGGACTAGGAAAACCATTTCCTGTCCAGTTCTGCCAGGTAGAGTTTTTAAAAAGTAAAGCAGTCAGAATAGGTCTGCAAAGTTTGCTGGCAAACATGGTATCATATCACATGGGTTATATTCCTGATACTTCTTGCATGTTGAAAAATGGCTAATCTAGATACAAACCAATCCCATCAATTTTAGATCTAGAGCTGTCCCTAGGGGTGTGCAGGGCCTGAGGCATATCAGCCTGTGCAGGGCCAGGGGATGGGGTGGTGAACACCTGCAGAAGCCAGCAGCAGCGGTGGGGTGGGAGTGACCACCTGCAGAAGCCAGTGTCAGCGGTGGGGATGGGGGTGGCAACTGTAACACAGAAGCCACCGATGGCGGCAGCAACGCGGCGGCAAGGGGAGGGGCCTGGGGCAGTTGCCCCAATTCCCGCCCCCTCCCCTTCTCCCAGGGACGACCCTGTTTAGATCTATTTGAAAGTACTTTTCCATGACTGTTGTCCTTTTTATAATGGCCATTTTCTGAATCTCTCATTGAATTGCTATGATAAAACTATGGATGAAGCTATTCATAATAAAAGGCGAAGTGTTCAAATTGTATGGCTAAGGACAGAAAGCTTTTTCTATCCTTTTTCATATGCTTCCTGTATTACTATCAAAACCATTTAACTGGATGCTCATCACTAATTTGTTTCTGTACTTTAAATATGATACTGACTCCTTGAGCCAAACTTATTGTGGAAATTATACATCAGTAAATCAGTTTTTAAGTGACTAGAGTCTACAGAGTATGAAATAGAAATGGGAAGTGTCAGAAAGAAAACCTGTGAGTATGACAAAGTTCAGACTTCATCTTATTATGCAATCTTCCTACTGCGGTTTGCTTTTCCTGATAAAACCTCACCCCTTCCATTTCCTGTAATGTTAATTATAGCCTCTTAGTGATGGTTGAATTATCACAGCATTTGCATCACTTTTGAAGTGAGCCTGTTGTGTTTAATAGTTCTTAATTTTACAATAACTTGCAAAAAGTATCTCCACTGTTCAGCAATGTTACAGTTGACAGAATAAGATCTTTGAAATTCACCACTGGATTATTTTGCATTTAAAGGATAAAGCATATACATTGAAACCAGGATCTAATACCATCCTGGTATGCAGCACTTTCAGCTAAATTACTATGTAAAACTAAAAATAAGGTTGCCACTTAATAACCAAAATCAGTCCCATCTTTCTAGGAATGAAAAAATAGAAGCTCAGTAGTCTGCTCCTGACCCTGTCACCCAGGCTTTGAGTCTATTGTCCCTGAGGACAACTCTAATCTCTCTGGCCTGCTGTGTGTTTAATGAAGGATGGAAAGAATAAGAGAGGTTTTAAGAAGGAAATAATGGTGTTCCCCTCCTACTCCAGGGAAAAATATATTTCACTCTTTTCCTAATAGGTAAGCCCATTTAAGTATCACAGCCTCTCCTTTTCTCTAGAAAAATCTTTGGTTGGTTCTGTAAGAGCCATTGGACAAGCTGGCAAAGAAAATTAGTGTTTTTATTTGCAAGAGTTTTCCAAGATAATGTAAGCAGTTAGGGAAGTTCCTGAAAAATGATGTGAAAAGTTATCCTCTGTTTTCTTAATTAAATTTGCTGGGGTTCCCAGTGTTTGTGATCAAGAGAATCTTAACTGTAGTATTAGATGTTTTAAGAAAAAAGTAGTTTACTCTAGATGTACATAATCCTATGACACTTTACATCTTTATTCTACATACTACAGCACCTGGAAACCTCAGAAGAAAGCAAGGGTTACTTGGGACAGACAGTCCTGCCCCAGAGATCTACCTACAGCCAAAGTTTGGAGAGGACCATAAGTCACTTGTGCAAGGTCATTCAGTAGAGCAGTGGTAGAGACAATATTAGAATCTAGGTCTGCTTAATCCTAGGCTACTACCTGACTCATTAGACCATATTGCATAATTACTAAAAATAGTTTTGATGACTGTCTCCATGCATTTCAGACTTACCTTTTTGCAGTGTATATGTTACTATTGGAATAGAGCACATCCATAAGATACTTTTTATATTTAATAACATCTTGACCTACAAAAAAAAGAAAAAATAAGTCAATCAAAATTATCTGAGTGTGTCCTTATGAAGAGCTGTAGTTCAGTACAGCAATACTTGTCATTAGTTTCACAGATGATGATCTACTGTAGTAAGCTATTCATTACAGAAAAGGATTAATACTAAGGTATGGATCCTTTCAGCAATAAGTCTTTAATCTAGTCCAATGCATTAGTAACAAAAAAGTCATTATCATTCAATGGCTGTTCACGTTGTTTGTGAAAGAGGTCTCCAGTCCACATTCAATGCTAAGTAGGTTTGGTAACCACATCATTAAAAAAGCCCACCATTTAAGAACAAAGGAATTGTAGTCTATTTTGCATCACAAACTGCTTGTGAATTCTGAAGGTGAGTGAATATCTTTGCATCATTTTGCTGCATACAGCTTGTTTTAGGATTATCTGTTTGCAACATTTCTTTTGCGATAACATTACAGAAGGAAATGTTATTTGAAATGACAATGTGGCCCCAATATTTTGAAGTTTGGGAGAGGGTTTTAGGTTTCTGTTTCCAAAGTCTGATTTGGGCAATTCAGTCCCCTTCACATGTGCTGTCCTTCTCCTTTTTTAAGCCAAATGCTCCAGTCCATTACAGACTGAAATGTTCTCCAAAATCTACAGTATTTCCACAACAGCAGAATATAACTTTCATTCTGAATCCCAGTTAAATGTGTTGACTGTGTAAATAACATCAAAAACCAAGATAAGAAAAGTCTAAGTGAGGGCGGAGTAATTTCAATAAGTGTCAGATACTATAATCACTTTATAAATATTCATCTATTGCTTATAGTTACTCATATACTATGTCTGGCAATCATCAGCACTAGTCTTCAGCAACAGCAAAGATCTGAGAGACACTCTTGTTGAAAACATGTTAATATGAATCCCTCAGTTTTGTGATGCTATTCTTGGGATATACTACACATCAGCTGTATTTAGACCAGCATCCAAAATTGGCATCCACTTCCTTCCCAAAACAGAATATAATGTAACTGCCTTGAGGGAACTGGAGCAGAGATTTATTAGGCATAAATCTACTTTAGAGCAATTTATGCTTAAGTATTTAAAAAGTCATCACTTTTGAGTAAAATATTAACTAATGCAACAAGAAGTCTTCACTCTCTCTATTGACACCTGGTTGGATTGGTGTAGTCACCCTCAGACAACTTTTGGAGATGTACTCACTCTAATGGAGATATTTTCTGCTGTCATACCATTTATAGGTATTGCCCCAAATTGCAAATCACTGGTTTAGATATAGTCCATAATGTGCAACCAGTTCAGGGTAAATACAAAACATCATAAATCAAGCATATACATATAAAGTGGTGAGTTTGAACATGATGATTCACACAAACGGGCCCACAAACCAGAAGTTTTAAAATCCCAGTCTTTGACAGGCTGAAGTAGCTGGTTGCACTCAGAAACATATTGTGCAACCCATGCCCAGGGTATGTAGAAGAGAAGACCAGCTGCTTCCCCATGGAGCCGCCTGCATGCTGCTATACACACCCCATCCCTGCATGACTGACTCAACTGGGCTGGAGAACAATATGATGACATTTATTCTGCAATTTTAAATGTCATGGAATTCACACATTCTAGTGGTTAAATCCCAAATGGGAATTGTGACCTCTGCGTTACTTCTTATCCTTTTCATCCAGTAAGCTTTATCTTAGGGGCCTTAATAGCAATGCTTGATTTAAATCAGTCGCTAGGGAGATCACTGATCCATGTAGCTTTACTTGGAAAAAACAAAACCAGCTTGATTATTTATTAATTGATCCTTTACCTCATGGTATTTTGTCAGAGACTAAGTTTTAAATCAGGATGCTGATGCACAGGTTCAACTGGCATGTAAGAGAAATGATTCCTCATTATTGTGCAATTTCCATGGAATATTAGGAGTCAGGCTGTAGTCAGTGACTATAGGAGTGGGCCAGAAGGAGATGGGTTCAAGGAACCTTTGTATCTAGGACAACTGCCAGTCTTGGGCTCTCCCAAGCACATTGACTGCTCAGGGTAGTTCTTTTAGGAACACAACCTGTTCAAAGAGGCCACGGAAAAGTTAAGATCAGAGAGGTGTACTGCATCTTCATAAGGGCTAGTGCTTTAGCTATGTTTGCCCAAGAGATCTAGGAAACATTAAGCTCCCTGAGCTTCCCTGGGGATGCAATCATCCCACATCATCCCCTATTTCATGCTAGTGGCTATAACATCCAAAACTGAAATGATCAGAACAAGAACCAACTCTCCACAGTCTTGGCTTTGAATATGTTATCCCCAGGAGGCCACCCTGGTCTTAGGGAGCAGGATTAAGGGAATTAGAAAGATATTCAAGGAAAGGTGGAAGGGAGGAACGTGCTTCCTGGGAAGTGCATGGACTGCTTCTTAGCAGTGCCAACTGCATATTGCTCCCCACCTCCTGCCCTGAGAGAAGAAGTGGGAGTCAGTAAAGGCACCATTGAAACAAGGATGAGAAAAAGGAAAGCATCTGTCTGCTTAGAATCTGCAAGGTTATGACTTTGAATAGGCTGGAGATGATGCTGAAGGAGAAACCATGTTCTCTGCCGGTAACCCTGCTTGTGATTGATAGTCAGCCAGCAAGAGTAAAAGAGACAGCAGAAGCAGATCAATAACTATTTCCAAGTGGGTGACACTTGGGAAGTATCCTCCCTCACACAACACAGTATGGGGAGAGGGAGAGGGAGGGAGTTCATATGTGCTCCTGACATACCAAAGAAAGGTTCTCTACTTCTAGAAGTTCACTTTCCAGGTCTGGGGACATGGCAACCAGAGAAGGAGTCACAGGGTCCATATTTATACAGTTGTATCGCCCACCCTATCCCACCCCCAGTGCACATTAAAAGCTACTCCAGCTGAAGCTCAGCAGGTTGAGAGGAGGGGTTTCCACATACCCCTGTTCTTTACCCACGTAGAGCAGCACTGCTGAGAATCTTATGCAGTTGAACAGATTTCACTCTGGAAAACAGCACAAAAAAGAGAGAGAGAAAAAGAAAAGTAGAGGAAAGGTAAAAGAAAGGTTTGCTGCCAATATCCCTTGATTGCATAATTTCAAGTGGCATCAGCAGGCAGGGCAGTATATAACTATGAACGTTTTGGCATGCATCATGAAGGGTTTTCCATTCAGTGCTGCAAGGGTTACTTACACAGAAAGCTGAGTACTTTTTAAAAAGTTGCAGTGATTTAGCCATGTCCTGCTGACTTTAATATGAAACACCTGTCTAAAATCCCCATACACTTTGAAAATCTACCTCTAACTTTCCAGCATCTTTTCTAAGTCT